GGGGGGGGGAGCAGTGATAGTTATTGCATGTTAGCGTGCAAAATGTAAAGTAAGGCTAAAATCCCCTGGAGAGACCGGTAATGCGGACCTGGGAAGAGAAGCACTGGGTACATCTCAGGACTGAGCCGTTGTGCTTGTGTGTGTAGCGAGGAGTGGGTGAGATTGTGAACTGCAGGGGTTTGTGTGTGCTGCGTTTTCATTGGTGAGTGGAAATAGAAAGTCTCTGCTACTTTTTACAAGAGGTAATGGTCTGTATAAAACCGAAAGAAGTTTTGCAGCTCAGATGCTTAATAGGCCAGTAAAAATATTTGTGCTGTTTACCATAGGAAGCCGGTAACAGTGGAGGAGACTTAGTAACTTATGCTGTATAATCGTGAGCTCAGGTAACATTGCCATCAAACCTGTTTGAGTGTTATGTCTGACATGGGGTTGTGGCTGCTTAGAAAATTAATGCAAATGAGCTTCTTTAATAGCATAGAACATGAGGGCAAAAGAGAAGTGGAAGAGTTCAAATCTCAGTGCATCTTCAGCTTCTCTAGGTGTTTCTCGGTGGTATTTTTGTTGTGTTTTAACCTCTTTTGCTGTGCCTGCTTTCTGTTACTCCTTTAGCCTGGATGAAGTGTGTGAGCTGAGCTGTTTGCTTTTCTTTGACCCAGAGCTGGATGGTGATTAACTCACTCAGTGAATTTAATCGATGCTCTGAGAGATTCTATTTTTAGATAGGCTTCTTCATTGCAATTTGAATCTGGCATGAATCTTCAAAACTGAGCTTTTACAGTAGTTTTTCTAATTATTTCATGCCAAACAGTGGCAGGAAATTAGTAGTGGAATGTGTTGGCTGTAAGCTTGCATGTATTCATGCATGCTGTTAGTGTGTGACATCAAGGGAGGACAGTGGGCATCTGTCATGGACTTTTCTTATTGCAGCATGGATTCAGTCCTGACTGGTTTAACCTCTCCTTTTTTCTAGTACATCACTCGCCTGCCAAAGAACCAGCACATCTGAATGCATTTCCCGAGCACCCCTCCTCCCTGAATTACCTGAGACCCAAGAGGCAGAGACCTCAGATGCTGAATCTGAGTGGTACCGAGATGTCTGGGGTACTCAGACCAAGGCCAGCAGGTCTAGACAGCCCATCAAGCAACCGCTATGCTGGAGACTGGAGTAGTTGTGGGGAGAACTACTTCTTAAACCCGAAAGACTGCCTGAGCGAAGCAGACTATGATGATGTCCCTTCAGAAGATACGGAGAGCGGGGATGATGGCAGCAAAGCTGAGGAATCGGATGCCCCAGTAAAATGCCTGCAGCCTCTCCCCAGGGAGCACACGTTTCAGAGCTATTTGACAATGCAAGCGATAGACTCTGCTGTGGATCACAGAGCAAACCTCAAAGACCTGCAGGAAAGCATTGATACTCTGATAGGAAACCTGGAAAGGGAGCTCAAGAAAAACAAACTAAACATGAGTTACTAAATCCTGTCCTGCCTGACACCTCCTCCTGGTGCCTCCATGCCCCTCACTGGGCTTCCCACAGCCGTGTGAGGAGTGACAGTGCCCCTGAAGGTCCTGTGTTAACAAATTTTAAGCCATTCCGTTATGTTTTCACTCTTTTGTTAGAAGAAGGTGTTGGCCTGATTTGGGTGTTAGAGACAAGCTTAGAGACTGTGAGGTGATTCCACATAGTGGCATTTCTCCCTAAAAACACTATGCACTTAGATGGTCTGGGCAATACCTGATAGAAGATAAAGCAACATCTCTGCTGTCAGTGGCAGCAGAACTCCTCATTCCTGAAATCCTGTCTCCGCTACAGATGTTCCTCTCAGAAGAGGATGAATGCTGCTTGGCCTGAGTTTTGCAGCATGGACTTCAGATAGACTTTGTTTTACTATATATGCAATGGCTGCTATGAAAAATGCTTTATATATATATGATATTTATATATAAAGTTTTAATTGTACAAATATTAATGTATTCCTGTATTAACACTTTTCAGTAATTATTTAAACAAGCAAAAATTAAATATTTTTCTAACCTTGTTTGTATATATCTATGTATAAATGTGCATGTGTCTCATTTGGAAAGGAGAGGAGTCTCAGAATTATGGAATGGACCCTTTTTTAGAAAGGTGTGTTCAGTGATGCCAGGTTAAGTTACCCCTTGGGTAACACAGCATTTGATTTATGCACAGAAACATAGCCCGAGAGAAGGCAGGGTGAATGATTAATATAAATGACCTTGCGTGTTGCAGGGGCATCAGTTCAGAGGTGTTGACTATTAACTCTTTCTCACTGCCTCCCCATCTTTCTATCTTTTCCCTTTTTTTTCTTTGCCTCCCCCGGTGTTTTTTCATATGTAAAGGAGGTCTGGAAGGTATTTACTTTTCAAAAAGTACTTCTGGCCCTTGTAAACTGCTACTTTATTCTTGATGCTTCAATACTACTTCTCTCTCCAGAGTTTCATGCATTTTTGTTGAAGTATCTTTGTCTGCTAGTAGTTAGAGGTCTTCAAGCCCTCTCAGAAGGGCTGTGGCTCTGGAGATGCAAGACTCAAATTCTGCAGGAAGGTAGTTGCAGCTTTCTCTTGAGTCTTAAATTAATCTCCCAAAAACGTAAATCTGAGTTGTTACATGGGGTTGAATGGGTTGAGTGACATTATTCCTGGGGAGTTTGGGTGGGATTGCCATTCACCGTGACTCTTAAATTCGGCTATCACCATCCTCTCAAATCTTCTCTTATCATTGCTAATTTATGGTGAGTAATTAGAAGTTTTGTGTTCAAGCAAGGCATTTTTGATCTAATTAAAATAGTTACTAAATTGCATACAGATGTTTTGATAGTCCCTCTAACCAAAACGAGATAGAGAGTCATTCCTTCACAGGTCACCCCAAGTGAGAAAGGGGAGATTGGGTGGGTGGGGTCGAGAGGATTATGTGTTTTGAGAGGTCAAACACTGAGTTGCTGTCAGCTGGCTGAATAGAAGTTAACTCTCTTCATCTTTTTGGTACAATGTTGGCATCTCACCATGGCTTTCCATTCACCCTGTGGGTAAGTGATTTTCTGCTAACCTGTACTCCCTTATATTGATTAGTTGAAGAGTTATTTATTTACACTAGCAAGGAATTAAGAATTATGTCAAACTTCACCTCTTTCTTCTAAGGAATTATTTTAGCATGGTTTCAAATGGTTTATTCAATCTCATTAATTTATTTTTTGTAAGTGTTAAAAAATGCAAAACAATTAATGCAATATAATGATAATGTATGAAAATGTAAATTTAACCTGAAGCATTTATCAATAAATCGATGTATTTTTTTAAACTTTTATACCTACAGAATGTGCATACTTTTTAAACTATAAATTTAAATTCTAAATAAAATTTGAATTAAGAACAACATTTAACTAAGCCTAGTTAGTGATTATTTAAGCCTGTCTAAGCTGGTGCCATCCATTTACACTGGCTGCACGTGTGAATTAATTTCATAAAGACATTTAGCTTTTCAGAATATGTTTTGTTCTATTGTAGTTTCTAGATTGACCTGACATTTTGGTTACATAATTAAAAAAAAAAACAACCAAACTAAAGCACTACTCAATTTAAATCCAAAAGGAATAATTTTCTAAGGAAGTTGCCAAACCGGTGTTGTGGCGGCATTTCTTCTGTTGCAGGATGCTGATGCTTTTAAACATAGACTGGCTTCTGCAGTGGGTGGGTAGATGTATTGGCACTAGATGAAAGATGTTTGCCTTTAAAGTTATTTGATAAATGAAACACTAAGTTTTTATTGTTTATTATAATCTAGATGTGAGTACCTTTTGAATAAGTGTAAGGTTTTTCTACAGGAGGGTTCTGTAACTCAGTACAGCAGTGCACTGCTGTGTCAACTTTATTTTAACCTTAGAATGGGAAATGAATGACTTCATAAACTATTAATCTAATTAGTAAAAAATATAGTAAAGTATTAGTATTATTCCAATGAAACATTTGCTGCTAATCTCGTTATAACATGTAGAACACGTTTTGTATGTTAGAAATCCTCTTTTAAAGAGACATTTCCCAAGTGTTTTTTTTGTTATAAGTTGTCCCTTATATATATTCTTATACATATTATTATCTTTCATAATATTATTTATATAATCTGGTCAAGCTGCCTGTTTATGATTGTTACAGATTCTTAAGGAACAGGATTAGTGTGGGAATTACCCTAATCTAGAAACACTAAATTGGGAGATTAAAACAACCTGCTTATATCAAAGTAAAAATGAACTTTTTTTTTTTTTCAATATACAAAAGAGCAGCCTCGGGCTGTGTGAAGTTTGTAGGGTAGAGCTCTTGCTGAACCCTGTGGGCAGAGCCAGGAACTTTTCTTACCATACTAACCTTTGTTGTTGTCTGCTTGGTGTAACTCAGTTCAACACTGGGAACAGCTCCTGTGCTGCAGGGGCTCTTACTAGTGCTAGAAGAGGTTAAAAGCAGATGGCAGAGCCTGCAGTTGAGTTCAGAGAGCAGATGTCCTTGGAGCGTGTGGACTTTCCTTCAAGTGGGACCTCCGCTTCCCCGGTAAAGAAAATGGATGTAGATGCTCTTACAGAAACAGTTACAGGACTTGCACCAAAATCGCATACAAATTGTTATACCCAGTGATGGCCATGTGCTGGGCTGGGCACCAGCTAAGAACTGTAGTTTGTAGTCCCCCAGGAAAAGCAGAAGAGAATCTATAGGTCTGTGCAACTCTGCTGACAAGTGTTAAGGATACAATGCACTTAGGTGGGTTCAGGAGTGGACTAGATGCATTCGTAGACTTTTAATTAATCCATTGCTATTTGTTTAAACAGGACTGTCCAGATGCTGCCTGGGTTGTGTGGCTGATCCAGCTGACACTGAATTGCTTCTCCTCCTTTATCAGCTTCTCAAAGTGGCATATTAGAGGAGCGTGCAAGAGATGAGGAGGGATAGTGTGGGATGTGGAGTAGAGGGGGTGACAGCATGACCTTGGGCTGACTTAGGCTGCTGGGGACCTACCCCCTCAGAAACTTAGAGCGCTATATCTGTCTGTTCCAAATGCTTAACGTTTGTGCATGTTTATTAATGCACCAGGCAAGAAATGTAGCTGCAGCTATTCAGATGGGTTCTAAAAATAGAGGGAAACAGCCCCAACAGAAGTAGATACTCAGGGTTTTTACAGAAAAATTTATAAATCTGATAAGCCAGAGACACATCTGCTATTTGTGCTGCCAGTTCTTAACCCCTTATTTTCCTTCCCATCCCAAGGTATAGGGTTTTCTTAACAGTAAAAATGTATTTTGATATAAGAAGTTTTTTATCTCAAACTGCAGCTAGCAACAGTTGGAAGATGGTTATTTGGGGTGGGGGGAGGACTGGTGTTATACTTCAGTGTAGCTATGATACATTTGTTACAAAATCTCATCCTACACAATGAATTAACTTTTATTTCTGTTTGACTTTTTTAGAGCCGTGCAGGAAACCCTATATGTTATGCTAGGCAAAATTAGCCTGTGGGACAGTTTGCCATGAGATAATGGAAAGCCAACCCTACAGGTATTTTAACAACTAGGATTGCATTAGAGAAGATAAAATATTGTGATGGGATGTATAATCTCATGTGTCTGGTGTTATTTGGGAACAGAAACAAGGAAGAAAATGGCTCTCAGGAACGTTATTGCCTTTCAGTTGGGAGATTCCTGCATCTCTCCAGGTTGCTCTGGGGAGGGAGAGGGTCTGATCAGCAGAGCCCTGATCTGCTGTCTCTTTGTCCTCCCTGCTAGGAAAACCCAGCTGAAATCCGGCTATCTTCTAGAATATTTTCATCAAAACTCTCACGAGTGCCTCTGTGGTGGGGAACAAGACTCATGTTGAGACTGCCGCCTGTTCTGGGTTGTAGTGACAGAGCTACAGCAGAGGGGGTGGTTGGATTTTCCAGGTAAACCATGATGTATGGTTGATTTTAATGTATATGTAGTTTGTGCCTGTTTTAATCAGAAATCTGTGGAAGGTGATCTGAGGTGGTGTTTAACGAAGTTCAGGCCTGATAAGAGAGCTGATCTTTTTAATGAGTTGGTTATGGGATGTTTACATATCTGTATGGAGCAGGCTGTTAGTTAAATATTGGTTTAGCAGAGAAGCTGTGTTCTCTTCCTGTTTGAGCTCTGACTGCAAACACTGTGCTGCAGGTGGTAGGGATGTGCTTGTTGAATTTTCCCTGGTTTTAATTTGGAGGTAGCTTGGTATGAGGGGCAAGGAATATTACTACAACATTTAAACTTCAAACTAACAAAGAAAAAACTGATTTTCAAACCAAGTCTTACCTAGAGGTACCAAACATCTCTTAAATCTGACTAAAGTTCAATCGAAGTGGTAAAAGTACGCAATGAGGTGATCCTGGCTGTAGAAAGTTGAAGGGGTGTGTGTTTAACAGTGCCTAAAACCAATCTGCAATGTTTATTTAGGGACATAGGAGGCTCACACTGCTCCTGTTTCATATCTGGCTACACTGTACTCTGACAAAGCAGAGCACTGGCGCTGGCTATCGCTTGTCAGCCGAAGATCCTCTCTGCAAATCCCCTGTGTGTCAGTCGCCTTTTGTGCTTTAGTGTCTACTGTGACCATACGGACATTTGTTTGACAGGAGTCTGTGACCCTCAAACAGTTTGGTGAGTCATGGAAAGAGTGAACTCACCCGTATAGAGTTTAATCTGTCCTCCTCTGATAGATTTAATTTCTGCTTGACAAGCTGTGCTCAGTTACATGGTGTCTGACCTGGCTATTGAAACCGTGCCACAAGCAGAACACCACTTACGAAAGAGTCCTTTCTGCAGATGGAGGATGGACATTAATATTCATGAGCTGTTGAACTCATTTACATTGGTAAATATTAAAACTTCTGTATAACACTGTTCGATCTCTCAAGCACTATTGTCTTTTGACAGAAATGTACACACTCAAGAGCCACGGTGTGCTTGGTAAAAGCTGTTTGTTCTAAATAATGCTGATTTTTTTCAAGGCAACAATATATTTTAATGGATTTGGTTTTCTCTTTGTAAGCATTTGCCAGGCTTAAGTAACAATCATTTTCTAATCTGATGATGGCACATAAAACTGGTTCAGCTTGCAAAGTTTGAAGGGTTTATGAACAGTGTGGTCAGTTCTTTGCTTTTGGTTCAGCAGCCCCTGAAATTTGTTTAGTAATTTATATGGTCCTCCCTTAGCATATTGATGGACTCAGCAGAGGTGCAGGGGGGACCCCTATCATTTAAGTGTGCAGTAAGTAATAAATAGAAGACTATAGCATGGTGAATATTTGTTGTGGCTGCACTTAGGGGAACAGAACTGGGTTGCTATTGTTGAGGGAGCACTGGTGTTGACTATTCCCTGCATAAGCAGTAGCATTGCCTTCTGAGTGTTGTGGCAATCTTCTTGGGATAAATCCTCTTGTAGCAGTGATGGCCACCTCTCTTCCCTGCTGTAATCCAGGTGACTGCACATGCTATTTGGGGAAGTCATTGCTTGTGGAAGTTGTAGTGGGTGGAGTAAAGCTAGCTAATGATGAAATCATCTTTAGTGTAAAAAATACCTTCATTCCTATGAGCTGTGTTCCTTCGTGAGCTGCAATGGCTCACTGATGTACAAGAGCAATTCAGAATCTGTTTTTGATTTTTAAATCCCTTAGGTGACAGTGGGTCCTTTGCAGGAGGAATTATTCCTTCCATCTCCTGTGATTGTTGTGGTCATCTGAGGTGCCTGCACATGTTCCCTTTCTCCCTTCAGCAGCAGCTCGGGTACATGGGGCTGCACAAGTCCGAGGTGAGTGTTCTTTGCTCTGGAGTGCTTTCTGTCGCTGTATCACCAGAGCAGCTTGTCCCGAACATCTCAAAAACACTTACTGCTTGTCTGTAAGTTTTCAATAGGAGTGAATACTTTGGGGATGAGGAAGGAGATGCTTGCTGGAGCTGAGTAACAGAATTTGTATGGCCTGTGTGAATATAGCTATTGGAGTAGAATGGCTTCCCCTCTGGTGGGAGGGAGCGGGTGGATATAAGGTGGAGGGGTGGCACATTGGTTTGACTGTCCGAGTTGTGTTTATGGTTTTTACAGCTTAGAGAGTCCTGACAGACACAGAACTTTGAAAACTATTATTTAAGCAGTTAAAATATTAATTATAACTATATTAATTAAAGATAGCAGGGGACATGTGCCCAAAACAATTGTTCTCTAACCACATTGTGAGTAAACAAAAGGATAAAGGTAATGAAACAATCTCTAACTGCACGATGCTTTGTTTCTGAAGCTAAACATGTTCTGCTGAGATAAAGAGGTCCCGAAATAAGCTTGCTTGTTCTAAAGGTGATAATGGGCTCTAAGCATCTGACGAGGAAAGTATTTTTTGTCACTTTACTAGTCCTAAATCCATTAGCATCTGCTTCTTCAGGTCCAGAAACAATAGAGTCTCCATGTTCTTGCTCCTCCATCCCTTTTATTTTCTGTAGAGTAGTCATACTCTGAAGGAAAAACACATACCAGGCACTGTTAAGCTTTGAAATCTCCATGCGAGACCCTGTTGTTTTCCAGTGGATAATATTGGTGCTATCACAAATTAATGAAAATAGGCATCACTTAAGGCTACATTAACTGAATTGTCATTTCCTTGGTTGATTAGTTAGTATCATTAAACCATTTACCAAATAATAGATAGGCGAAATCCTTATGTGAATAAAGAATGGAAAGCTGGAGTCTCTCCTAGCCTGAAGGAGCAATGTTTGTAGGGAAGCTGCCAAAAAGTAACTTTATGAAAGAGCAACTGATGTAAAAAGAAAATCAAATTCATAGCTTGACCAAGAGCTGAACTCATGTGAACTAGGACCATCTATTCCACTCCTAAGAATCGTAAATGTGAAATGAGCTGCTATTCTGATTACGTCCATCCTGATTTTTGAAAACACTATGGGAAATCCTGCCTAGCAAAATAGGTGTGTTTTAAAGACCCAAAGAAACAAAGGAAGCTTTCTCAATTCCAAGTACAACATACTGTTTTCTCTCTCTGTGCCTCCAGCTCCGTTTCAATTCTGTTTTGGCTTGAAGGTCTTGATACTCTTGAAACTCTTGTTCACGATACTTCAGATATTTGACTTCTCTTTCAAAATAATCAAGTACATTGGCATGCTATTAACAGAGTGACAGACAAGGGTCATTACACACCCAAAGACACAGAATTATTGCTGAAGATCTAAGAGTATTATTAGTTTATCTATACTGGAAATATAGATATCTCTATCCAAATAATTTGCAGCAAAACAATATTAAGATGTGTATCGAAACCAGTTGATTTTGGATACAAATATGTGTGGGGTTAAATAATTTTTATTACACTGACTCTGAGTAGATCATCCTTCAGGAACCTGCACTGAAACAGCTTAACTAGTTTTAGGTTAGTGATTTTGCTAAATCAGTCCAAATCCTCACTGACCCAGCTTCAGGCACAAAGAAACCATAAAATGCCATACTTCAGTATTACACCATGCATTTATCTGGGATTCTGTGTTTTAGTTTTCGTTAGTCTCTTCCACAAGTATTTTGCAGTGAATACTTCAGTTAGAATGAACGTAATCTAAATATTAGTGACTGCCTCTGGGTTAATAATTCTGTGACCTAAATAGTGTAGTTTCAAAACACATGTAATTTGGACAGAAGCAATGTGTTTTCTCATGTTATAGCACTTAGCTCTTACCTTGATTTGAATGAAAAAGAATGGACTAGGTAGCAGGTATGACTGCTGGACTGGATGAGATGAAAACACTAGTTGATCTTTGGCTGGGTGGTAGGGGAAAAGAACAACCGAAAATGATGTGGAAATAAAGGGAAACTTAAACAGTTTCCATTGTTCCCATGGCCCTTTGGTAGAGATAATCCTTATTTCAAAAGAGAATGAATGAGTGGTAATGTTAGTAACAGTTTGCAAAACACGCTTTAACTAAGCTAGAAGGAGAAACCAAGATGTATAAATCAAAGTACCAAATGTATAGGGAAAAAATGATGCAAATGCAGACAAGATGGTGTAAAGAAAAAGAAACTTGGTATGTTTACATTACTATATGCTATATAGCATTGTTTTAATGCATGAAACCACGTGTCATTTTATGCATGTGGCAAACAATGCTGAACTCTACTGTGTTTTCATGTAGACAGGTTAGAGCAGTGGAATTCTGCCAGTGTCACCCAGGTTTCCTTTAGTTGCTTCCTATGTGAGCTCTGTACAAAAGCCAGCTTTGTTACAGCTGATCTTTGGAGAAAAGGGCCATACTGATCTCAGATTAACTGCCATCCATTTGAAGGCAAGTACTTCTAGGCAGGCCTGTTTCTGCGCTGGAGTTTTCTGGATGAAGTGTCACAGAGATTAATAAAGATTCTTACCAACCTCATTCCTTGAAGGGTGACTTCGTTTCTGACAGATTTCCAAAACATGCAGTACTCCAAGATCATCAGAAACAGCTAAGAAATGCTGCTTTGCTGAAAGATATTTGATAAAAGCACATAAACAATCTAAATTCCAACAGTAACACATACTTCCACCCAAACTCGAGCTTACAGAGGGTTCATTTTTGTCGTGGTCTTTTTGGTTTATTGTTTACTTCAGCAAAAGGCAGCCCTATTGCCCTCTTATTTTCTTAACAAATGAAATTCCCTTTAAAGTTTAAGCTCTTTCAAACTTTTAAAAAAAATTCAATGCTTTTAGTTGCTTTATGCCATAGTAGTTAGTGTGCCTTGGATCATGGGCCATTTTGCAGCCAGGGTGGCACAGTAAAGCACAATCAGCATGAACATACGTGAGGCAATCCAGGGGCTGATGAAAGTGATCATTGATTTGGAGATGTTCTGGAAATGAGATGGCTCGTGAGATTTCTTCAGTAAGTCCCAAATATCTATATTTCCATCATCTCTGCCAATGAAGAAGACTCCTGGTCTTGTTAAGGACCAGTGTCCTGTAGTATATCTTCCTGCAGAGCAGCTTGACTGAAGGATTGGTCCATACTTAATTTTTTTTGGAAAACAAATAAAAGATAGACCCAACAATCAAACAGTAATATCCATTCACTACTTCAAATTCTTATAATTTGACAGCATTCACAATTGAAATGATCCTATTACAGAAATTATACCAATGTCAAAATTGGTATCACCTTCTGCAGATAGAGAATTGTCGGGAAGTAAAAAACCCGCTATCTCACTTCCTGTCTATTAAGGTAATCTGTCTATATGCTGTTAAAATCTGTGGCCTTGAGATTTTGCCAGGTGCAGCAAACCTGGATTCCTACATGAGAGAAACTGTAAAAAACCCCATGTTCCTTTGTCTTCACATGACGAAAAGACTGTGACCTAAACCGGAGTTCTTCAGACCTGTGTATCACACATCGCCCTTATTCTTCCCTAGCAGCAGAAATAATTTGGTGAGATGCTATAGTTTTTACAAGGCTGGGATTAAATAAGGTAATTTCTTTTTTTTTTTTCTTCTGTAAAAGGCAAGTTTACAAAGCTATTTCTAAAATGGTTTTTCTGATGTGAAGAAAAAGGTTTTCTTATACCTAATTTATTGCTACACTATGAAGCTTTGTAACTTTCAGACATTTCTGAAAATACAGTCTGTGAGGCTATTATAGTTCTGTCTTTTATATCTATCAATTATATTACAGCTGTGTTAAAGTAACTTACTGTAACCCCTTCTTTCCAAATGGCAAAATTCCTTCCTCCAATGCTTAGAATGATGTCTTTAAAAAATGGAGATCTCTGGAGAGCATTGATAGTTTCAGTGTGGGTGATGTATTTCTCAGTGTGCTTCTGACCTAGTGGAAGGAAAGAAGCAGTTGCTTGTAACTAATGCTTTAGTGATCATCTTCACCATGGGAATTACTTGGGGGAAAACGAGAGTGCAGGATCCAGCACAGGCTTCAGAGATACTAGCCTCATTTTTTTTTCTCTCACAAGGTATAGGAATTGGAATTGCTGCAATTCTAGTTACTTCCATGATTTGTGCCAATAGGTACATAGAAGTGCGCCTGTGATACTGGAGGGGGGGTTTACTATTCTGTAATGACAGCTAAACTGCACTTTTGAGGGTGTACTGCTAAATCCTGGTGTCTTCAGTTGAGATAAACTATTATAGGAGATGAGAAAGAGCCTTAAAAAGAAAGAATATTGGTGCAAATATTTTAAAGTTAGGGATACATTAAGGTTTAAATGGGTATTGAGAAACTTGAACTTACTAACTGGTTTTGCTGAGTCACTATCAATTTCCATATTCCAGTTAGAATAAACAATTTCTCCATCCTGTGATGCCAGAAAAATCAAGTAAATGGTAATGTTAGAGCTTGGTGACTTTGATAAAAGTGACTTGTTTTTAAGCTGTGATTTACTTAATTATAACCATCATTAAATATGTTCTGAGTAAATTAAAACCTGAATTTGCAGCCAGTGACTGAAAAAACCCACTAACCTTTTGGATCACCATTTCTCAGTTATATATCACCAAAACAGTTTTACTTACCATGATATATAGAATCATAGAATCATTCAGGTTGGAAAAGACCCTTGGGATCATTGAGTCCAACCATCAGCTCTACTCTACAAAGTTCTCCCCTACACCATATCCCCCAACATCTCATCTAAATGACCCTTAAACACATCCAAGGATGGTGACTCCACCACCTTCCTGGGCAGACTATTCCACTGTAAGCAGTAGCATGTAAGCATGTAGACAGTCCTTCATGCAGAATTAGGTTTTTACAGTTAATGCTTTGCTCCAATATTTGGGGAAAAGGTGACTAGGAGCAAAACGGTAGCTAGAGGCCAGATTTTCATTTCCATATGAACTTGAAACTGGGAAAGATGATGGAATTTTAGATACATAGGGTAGATAGAGGGCTAGGAATAGCTGGGACTTCCTACAGTAGAAATAAGTTGTGGGGGAAACTGATACAAATGTTTTCACTGGGCATTTGGGGAAACACTGAAAAAATACTACTAATCTTATGGGTTCTAGTATAAGGAAATACTGTTTGGTTCCTGCTAGCAGGTAGTTAAGTTCAACATATTTTGGAAATGTCTTCTAATTCTGCCCTTGAAGTAAGGGTTCCTATTGTGAGTTTATTATTATTTTAAGCATGTAGTTAAATGTATTAAAATGGCAGTAAAATGTGGCATGTCTGGAAGGATCTTTTTAGTTAACACCTGAAGAAAACGTGCATGTCCATACATTTGTGAAAACTGTGTTATTTAATCATTCAGTCTTACAGATATCTTGGGATTAACATTTTCATTAATAATCTCTTATTTTCACTTACTTCAGTTCCAACAAAAACATCAGTGGAGATGCTCTCTACCAGTTTCAGATTTTTGCTTGAAGTAGTCCTCTTTGTATACAGGCTGTCTTTGGTGGGTACTTCTAGGGGGTTCAGAGATTGCACGTTCTCTGGGAAACAATATGGTTATACCTATTTATTATACACTGGAATTTATCAGACCAAGCAAATCCTTTGTCTTACAAAGGTAGTTCATGGTTAAGAGGAACTTCAAGAAGAAAGATAAGACACTGCCAAGTAAAGCAGCAGTTTTGCAGGTTAACTGTTTCCGGGTGGAGCCTCCCCATTGCTGCAGCTGCTCTCAATCAGTGCCTCCTGTATCCCCATTGCTGCAGCTGCTCTCAATCAGTGCCTCCTGTACCCAGACAGCTACTTAGGGTGGCACCATTCTGTTCTTCATCAGTTTTACGCAGCAGCAGTGTCTCTGTGGGAACTCCACTTAGGCATCCATACCCCTTAGCTGCCACATCCAGGAGCTAACTGCTGCTCCAGGGAATGGCACCCCCTGCCTCCTGCAGTCTGTGGAGTGACAGTGGGCGCCGGAGCAGCTGCACCACAGCAGCTCAACTGCCAGAAAGGCATTTTCTGGCATTGTTTGCAGGTACTCTCTCAGGTAGTCCAATGCTTGGGCTACCTCTGTGTCAGTCTGACAGCTTTACAGAGGGATTAGTAGTGTGTACTTGCCACAAAGTACCATAATAAGAACTGATCTACTACAGCATGTGAAGTGCTAACTTCACGCTCTCTAGTAAAGAGTGACTCCTCTATCCAAAGCGCTACAGAAATACCTACAATATGTACTGTTACTCCAGGATTATTTTTACAAAAATAGTATTCTGTAAGGGCTGAAAAGGACATACTCTTTCGGGGATAAAGAGCCTGTTAGGGGACTTGTGTGGACTATTAAGTAAAACCTGGCAGAGTTACCATGGATATGGAACTACTCTTCTTGTATTCAATACATGTACGTGTCTTTGTGGTCAATACATGTATGCCACACTTTGAATACCAGTATATTTAAGAAACCCTTTTCTCCAGATGTATTAAGCTATACCACATTTTGTTGCTTAGCTTTCATGACATATATACTGAAATATAAACTTATTAAAAACATTTTCCCCAGTAAGGTGTAATAAAAATATTACCTGAGGTTTTGCAATGATAATGCAGTTCCCTTAAACTAATTCTGACAGGGCCATACTCTGTGTTAGGATCACTTTCACGCAGATGTATCTGTTCAGAAAAAATGCATTTGCTAACTCATTTTGTCATTTTTTTGAGGTACAAGACTTAAATGACTTTCTGCTGTAATGGAACAGGTCTATTCAGTTTGCAATGTGTTTGTAATGCTCTATGAACAGTATGTGCTGCCTCATGCACAAGCACAGGGAAAATGCAAACCTGTGGTTTCTCTTGTGTTATCCTTTCCCTGTAAGGATTTTGCCATGTTTCTAGTAAAAAAACAGCTCCAGTGGTCATACTTGTTCAATGACTGTACTAGCTTGTAGCTATTCTAAGCAGCACAGGTCAACAAGTCCTTTTTGTTTTTTTCCCTAACATTATTTTCAGCCTCACTTTTTTCACAAAGTGCTATGAACATTTTCATCAGACTGATTGTTGGGTGAACAGTAATTATGATTCTCTTGACAATGACCATGTCTCTCAGTTTGGAACCCACTGAGATAAGACAGTGCTATGGTTGAAAAGGCTGACAAGAACAATTACTTTTGCACCTACTGCAGTTAGCTTTTCAAACTGCATTTTACTGAAGTTTCAGAGAAATGTTGAAACCCTTCATTTCATAACTGGAAGGAAATTCACAAGGAACTCACAATTTGCTGGAAAAATTAAAGAGCTGGGAAGCAAAAGAATACATTCCTATGGAGTTCTGGCTATATCTACAGTTCAACTTGATCCTTCTATTCTGTATTTGTGTACAGTACCTTTATGAGAGGTTTCCAGCAAAGATCTGGATGCTTAGAAGTATCTGGAACATCAGAGGGCATATAAAAAATGTCCTTCTCTCTTACTTTCTCAGATGAAGGTTGTTCAGGAAGTTTGGTGGCTGGAATACCCCAAAATAGTACTGAGCTGCAAAATGATTGTATGATGTTATTACCTGGTTTTGTCTGTCAGATGCAGTTCTCTGCACATTTTAAAGTTGCTTTTATTTTTTTAGCCTTTCATCTTCAAACCACATAGCAAGAGACCCTGAAAGCCCACAGATGCTAGATACTTAATTACTTCTTTTGTAAATGATGGTATATATTCCTTTATTTACCATTTCATCAGTTGTTAGCTATGCTAGAGCAGCTAGATAGCATACATACAGTTGGCTTATGGAGAGTTACTGGGTGAAGTTACTGGCACTACCTGAGTGAAATTCTTGGAGGCTGAGAGAACTGAACAGAACTCTGTAGCAGGTAATCTAGTAATCTGAATTGAACCTCATTCCCAATTCCTGTGTGTGTCAGTTTATTTGCTGACACTCAAGGCAAATGGTCCCACTCACTTGAATCTGTTCTCATTGGAGCGTTCAGCCCTCTGATTTTTCCTGTTGCTCTACTCTGGACATTCATTCACAGATACGATATAGACAATGATGATTTTCCTCATGGCTGACATCTCTTTCCCTTTTCTATCGGGAGTTTCTTAGGGGCCTGTGCTCTTCAAGAATGACATTACATCCTTGTGACTTCTCTGTTCTTGTTTTAGGAGACTACTTCTAATTTTGAGCCCTGATGTGAGTGTAGTTTAAATTTTATCTCTCATGTACATTACTTGCATTGCACTGCAAAATTATTAACAACTGTATTTGCGATTGTTCTTCTACCTTAATTCTTTGAAGTATTCTCTGTATTTGATTAGGGGAAAAACTTTGTATCATTACCAAATTTTGCTCTCTCTGACCCTCATTTTGATGATTAAGCCCAGGCACACAGCATTGAAGCCTTAAGCTCTTTGCCATCATGAAAGCTAACATTTATTTCCACTTTTTGCATTCTGCCCCCTTGCCAGTCTTTCACACAGGATTATTTGGTCATGACCATCATGATTGTTCAGTCCACAAAAGCAGAGATTCATACAGTATAATTTTGCAATCTAAGTCTCCAAGTTTAAATACAGTTTGCAGTATTTCTGTGGCCTCAAAATCTTTAACAGCTTTTTGTGCAAGTCACATAATTGATGTAAGTGTGGGGGTGTGGCACTCTAGGCCCAAGCACATGTGGTCAGCACTCTTCTTAAGGTGCACACGGAATATAAGCCTATATGTGTAAGGTTTTTCAGTTAATGAACCCTTAATACTGTCAATGTAAAGGGCTTAACTGGCCAAGAACTTGATGTGCTTCTCTTCTGCATACAGAATTTCAGCCATTCAGGATAGGCTGATAGGAATCCAGAAGTGTGCTAGATAAATCATGGAGTGTGCTCCTTAAAGCTTTCTAAAAGAAAGTGGAAGACAACTTGTAGGATATGTATTGTATATACCAATCAGAGGAGCAGGTTACAAGCTGCACACAAATTTCATCTCTGTTTTCAAAAGTAGCATCAATTCGGTTGTCCTAAAAATAACAGTAACAATAATTATTACAAGGGGAGAAGGTGATGCAAGACAAAAATGATACTCTGCTAAGTAAGTACTTCAACGCATAAAACAGGCTTCTAGAAACTAAGTCACTGTTTCTGCATTGGTAAAGTTTGAAAATCAGGACTGCAAGTGAAGTGATACCAGCTTTGCCTGCTAAATACGTAAAATTCTGAATTAAGTCAGCAGGATAAATACTTGCTGGCATCACTGCAAGTCAGGCCTTCCTTAGATTGCCATGTTAGTAACTTTTTTTATACAGCTTAACCAAAGAACAAATCATTTGAGAAATTTATCTCAAACAGTTAAGTGTAGTGGCAGTGATACCTCTTTGCCAAGGTTATGCCATGGGTCATCTCTCTCTTAAATTATCACTTGGCTAGACCATACTATGAGATGGTAGTGGTACCTTCAAATGCTAATTATTAATAGTTTTCTTTGTGGATGTGGGGTTCTGCAGGTTTTATAGCACTTACTTACCAACTGGTCATTGTTTTATACCAAATTTATTTTAATTTATTGAAAAATATAGGAAAGGTATCAGGTGCAACAAGTGATTATAGGCTATGTCCTGATCAAATACAATTTCCACTATATGCAAAACATATATATTTTGACTAAAACTACTCATCAACTATCTAGCAAAGTTTCAGCTACACTTTTTTTTTTTCTTTAGGTTTTTTTTTTTTTTTTTCATTCATGAGTTGTGTACCTGGAGTCAGAATGGCAGTCTCAACCATGCAAAGCTGAATTAGGTTCTGGATATACCTTTGAATATTTCTTCACTGATATGTAATAATAAACTGCTGATTTTAGGAACTGTGCCATAAAAAACTGCAATGATGTGCAAAGGCTGACACACATTCCATGTTTATATAATAAAAAGTATGTCCCAGTATATATTGCTAACTATTGACAAAGTGATTCCTTTGTTAGTGTTTTTTGTCAAGCATGGGTGTCCTGTATCTGTTATCCCTGATGAACATGAAAACCCCTTTTTGAGCCTAAACCTTGGGGAAAAAAAACCCACGCAAACAACAGAGACCACAACGGCATTCTGCTATCCAGCCCCTTTCTTAATGTCTTACATCTGGTACCAGTTAGTATCCATGGGTACTACTGTAGCATAATTTAATAATGAACAGTTGTATCAGCTTTCTTTTTTGATGGATGTGCATCCTTTTCCTCATTTTTCTGGTATTGTTGCTAAAGACTGCAGTATCTTGTTTGCAAAAATTACTACTATATTAATTTGTATAAACCTTTTAAAGATCTCAGTTTTCTTCCTCTTGACTGGCTTTTCCACTGTCATTATTTTGCATTTGACATTTCAAATTAGTTTCGGCAACGATTTGCAGTAAATGAGCATCCAATACTCCTGTAATAGTGTTGGGCCTTTTAACTATATAGACCCTAAGTATGATGAAGCTTTAAAACCATCATAGAAAACGTAAGTTCTGAGTTACACAGACAGCACCTAGAAGA